TACCACAAGTTACACAAAGGACTTTTAAGGTGCCAAATGGGTCTGGGAATCCAGTGCCTCAAGCTATGTTATAAAGGGAATATAAGTACCCAAGGGAAGTTTGGTGTCAAAGCATGAGCTCCACAGACATCAGCAGGACGTCACCTGCACTACCCAATAAGAGAGGTATTAGTATGTTAAACCTCTCTCAAGGAATTAGATACCCGACTCTAGCCTGCAGAGGTGCTCTCTCCACTTGACAGTCACAATCCCAAACCCTCTCCTGAACTTAGGTGACTGTGCCAGCTCCTTCTCAAAGAGCACCGTGAACTACCTCCTTTGACCCAGGAGCCCAGTGGTTGGAGTACTTGCCCCGGATGTGAGACACCTAGGTTCCATTCCTGTGCAAGGGACACTCTCTCCACTCGTCTATGGAGTGGTTGCTCTCCTCCTGTGTGTGGAATAATTAACTATTAACTCAGTGGGCAAGAAGCTGGCCCTCAAACCCAGTAATGGAGACACTCACCTGAAAAGGGGGAGCTCTGAATTCTCTCTTTGCTATAATGACAACTTATTTTATGTAAAGGAATTTTTTTTAATAGACACTATATGTGCCTCCAGGATTCGGCTGCTGCTGAATAAAGGTTTTGAGGATCTAAATTTTGGATTTAGGAACCTACAATAAGAGGAAGTTGACACATAAATGCCTATGTCCTTTTGTGGGGATAAGTTGTTAGTTACTGATCATGCAGAATCTGATCCTTGGTTCTTTTAAGAATCCTTTTACTAAATATCTGGTTTCTGTAGAAACATATATGCAATGTGGCGCACAATGATGGCTGAAAATGTCCACTTTGATTATGCCATGTGCCTATTCTGGGTCACAAAGACCTTTTCTGAGACTGTGATTTTTCCATTCTTCTTTGTTACAGATACCAGATTGTGTTTCTACTGAATCCAGCACTTTGCTTCAGTTTACATCCAAACAGATGAATTTTCCTTGCAAACATAGTAAAAGAGCACCACTGGAACAATGCTTATATGTAGCTCCCCTTAGTCTAATGTAACTCTAGGCTGAATTACTATTTGATGAAAAACATTGATAGATATTTTCCTAAGAGACATGTGCTTTAAAGATATCCTGAAGTAGGAAAAATAAAATAGTATGTTAAAGTATGCAGATTTGCTGGATATCAATGCAATATGCCAGATTAACAAGAAAGACTTCCACAGTAAGGTTTTTTTAAATACATTTATTAACCAATGTTAACACATTAAATGACTATATATTGCTAGTCAGAGCAGCTTACAAAATGCCAGAATGCATCATAGAACTGGACAGCCACAATGAATAATTACAATGTGCATAGTGGCTAAGCTCAACACTTTAATATAGCTTTATGATTTGCAGAAAAATTAATTTTTAAATCATGATTCCTAAAACAATCAATTGTAATTTTACCTAAAACTTATACAAAACCAGGCCACAATCTCTTTTTTTGTTTTTGTTTTTTTTTGTTTTTTTTTTTTAAAACACACAGTTTTCACGCTGTAGTAACTTGGAAATGTGCAACCGTGTCAACAGAGACAAAAAAGCCAAAGTAACACGAACCTTACTTTCATGCAGCTATCAGTTAAATATTACATATTCTGGAATGATTTTACACCAAAAATATTTCCACAATAACTTGCTTTCATAGGGGTGGATCGAAGTTTTGGAACTCGTAAAGTAATCTAACAAGATTTGTTATTTTTTTTTAGTTGTGAAGTGTTTTACAGTCACAACACAGAGGCGACATAAGTTAATTACACGTCAGGCAATAACGTAGTTGTGGTAATGCAAGTTGCCATTTAGTTACTATTATTTTCAATCAACTTACCATATGGTTTTGCAACCTACTGGGTATTAATTGGCAGTATCTAGTCAATTAACTTGTACCACCACTGTAAGTAAAAAGATCAGGATTTCAATGGCAGTTCACAGAAGTCTTGGTCATACTTCAATTTTTGCAATGACCCTGACAAATCCTAGAGAAAACTTTTTAAAAGGCTTTCCTCTTGATTCTTCAGCTTCCATCTTTCCATCATGTAATTGCTTTCAATAAATACCAAAGATCGAAATAAATATTTACAAATTATTCTTCTAATGTCTCAAAAAAATAGCTGGATGATAAATGGGCATTTGAATTAGTCTAAGACCAACTTTTGAAAGAAACTAAAATGCTGGACAGTTTAAAAGAAAAAGCTGTTTAAGTAAGCTTTACACCTATTTAAAAATTGTCTCTGAACATGGATGCAATTCATATAACTATATATAAAACAAAGAAAAAAAATCATTTTTCAACTATCGATCCATTCCTATTGGTAATGCTTCTTAATCCAGACATTCCGCAAAATACAGACTTTTTACAAATCACGGCATCTTTAATACAAGAAAATTAACATGCATTATTCTTCATTCTGAGTACAGTGATGGAGCTCATTAATAGGCAATGACCCATTACTACAAACATAACGGCTTCTGTGAAACTTAAGTGCTTTTTCCTTTTATTATTAAGTTACAATGGAATAGGTGACACCAGATAATAGGCAGCCCAATGACATTGGAGGGGGGATGGTTGAAGGAAGGGGCGGGGGAAAGCAATAAAGAAATTTTTATGCCTCATCTAGAATTCCATGTATGAATAAAGGTAGTTTTTTTGGCTTTTGTTTTTCTTCTTACAAGCACTCATGTTAGGACAAAGATGAAATGTGCAAACTTTAAAATTTAAATATTCATTTTCTCTAAGATCCAGCTCAGTAAAAGATTACCCCAGTTCCCTGCGATTTTAAACTACAAGATCAAAGCTAATATTTTGTTATAAAAGTTATATATTGAAAAGAAATAATGAAAATAAAACACGATTGGGAAATATTTAAGAAAAAATATGCAGGACTAGCACCTGCTGTGTCAACCCTGTTCCCTAAATTCAATCATATACCCACTGGTATAACCAATAGATAATGCCTTTAAACAGTAAAATTAAGCTGAACAAAACCAGCTCAACAAGGTTAAGAAATAAACATTACATCAAGGTAGTATGCTTTTTTTTCTGAAACAGTTCTGTAGTTCTTACATTCAGATCTAGTTTTTAAATGTTCCTTTCGTTAAACTCACGTGGCTTTTCTTTTTAGATCTGGTTTTTTTGAAGGTTAAAATCTCTGTAAAACCTAAAAATGTTTTAAAATTTGCTGAAAATGCAACAAATCCTCAAGTTTTAAAATTATTTAAAGTAACCCGCTCCTTCAGAGGTTAGACAGATTTTTACCCACAACATTTTGGAGGAGCGTTAAACAGAAGATTGAAATCATTGTGCAAAATTTCTTTTTGAAAAGCGTTTAAAGGCTGGTGCAAAATGGGAAGCAAATTCGAAACAATTTTGGCTTCTTGGAAACAAAAACCGCTGTGTCTGAGAATAGCAATCATCGGGGTGGTCTGCAAAGAGAGCAGCAGCGCCTTCATCTTTTTCTACGGCAGGTACGT